TGTGTAGGTCAGGTCACTTGGGGTGAAAACCCACTCCAACCCCTCCCCCACATTCCTGGCGGGAGTGGGAGATAAGGCTCAGGGCCACAGACAACTGCGTCAGAGATAGGAGGTCTCAATGCCATGGGCAGGGGCTACTGGGACTGGGGCGTGGGAAGGGCCGGGGAAGACTGGGGGAGAAGGGTAGAAGAGGGCAGGGGGTGGGATGGGGAGGGCAGACAGGGGAGGGCCTGGGCAGACCCTCGCAGAAGGGGCACAGGCAGGGTGTGGGTGAGTTATGGTACCCCAACTGCTTCTGCCGTTCCTCCTGCTGCTGGCCCCACAGGGTGGGCATGGCTGCCATGGGCCGGAGCTCGACCGGGCACTGGTCCTTGCCAAGGTGAGGGCCCTGTTCCTGGATGCCTTGGGGCCCCCAGCAGTGACTGGGGAAGGCGGGGATCCTGGAGTCAGGCGTCTGCCCCGGAGACATGCCCTGGGGGGCTCCGTACGCAGGGGCCCTGATCCCGAGGAGGATGTATCCCAGGCCATCCTTTTTCCGGCTTCAGGTAATGAAGGTGGGGAACGACAGAGTGTGGTTTGGGAGCAGGCGGGCCTGCCACTCTGCTGCTTTTCAACAATGGGCCAGTCACTAAAGCTCCTTGGACCTTTGTCTTCTCATCTGTAAAATGGGTGACAGCTCCTACTTCTCAGGATTAAGTGAGATGGGGTACTGAAAGTGCATGGCACGTAGGAGCCATTCGGGAGATTTGTGTCTGGGAGAGAAAGAATCTCTGGACACAGGTCTGGGCTTGCTCCCCTTCCTGCCATCTCCCTCCTGTCTCTGCCTCTGCTCCTGCCTCAAATGCCCTGTTTCTTTTAGTCCTAGGTAGCTGAGACTTAAGTTACCAGGGATTCAGGGAGACTAGTCTACCTCCTCTTGGGTTCTTGTCTCCCTTCGTATCTCCCTATGGTCCACTGACTGAATGGAACAAGGCTTCCTCCCAGTAGGCTTTCTCGTCATCTCCCCCACTTCTCTCTAGAGAGGACCCCTGTCCAACACGGAGGGTGAGGGGTGGGGGTGGGGGAGGGAGGAAGTATTGCTTTGGGATCAAGCAGAACCCCAGCCTGGCCACTTAGTCATTGAATGTCACTTCACCTCTCTAGGTGTCAGCGTCCTGATCCACAAAATAGATTGTTATGAATTTATAATGAGAGAAACCAAGTAACAGCTAGTTCCAGTTGCTGGTCTTTGAACTGGTGCTGGTCCCTGACATATTCTGTGGGTATGTCAGGGTGCCGGCTGCACTTTCTGGGAAAGAACTGCCCTGTATTCTGAGTTACATCCCTCCTCCTCTCTTACTTCTCTTCTCTTTCTTTCTCCACTTCCCCTTCTTTCTCCCACCTTTTCCCCCCATCTTTGTCTGGTGGGGGAGGGGTGTTAATCCGTCTTTTAAAAATGGAATTATTTGAAAGAATGTATCACAATGTTTCTGACATGCCAAAAGATTTAAAGAGAACATGACAAACTCCCCACTACACACAGCTCAAGGTGCGATTTCACACTATCTGATAAATAAAAAGTTAAATGTAACTAACTTTTTAAAATAAGAATTATTTATTTAATTCCACTTGTTATTATTACTTTTTAATTTGACCAGAGAGAGACAGAGAGAAAGAGAAAGGGAAAGCAAGTCGCCGGGTCTAGGACTTGAACCATGATCAGCCGTGTGGGAATCCAGCACCTTTATCCACATGCCACCTGCCGGCCCTGTAACTAACTTTTCTAAGCACTGGTGAAGATGGAGAGTAATAGGGCCTCTTACACTTTGCTGGTGGTAATATTAATTGGTAAACCACTTCAGAGACAAGCTGGCAGTGTCTTGTATCTCTAAAGTCCTTCCAGGACAAAATAAGAACATGGGAGGGGGACCAGCAGTTAGTATAATGGTTATGTTGCTGGACTCCCATGTAGTCGACCGTGGTTTGAGTCCCAGACCCGGTGGCTTAAACTCATGCCAAGCGCGTGTGCGTGCGTGCCCAAGATCCCAAGGGGAGAATGGAGGAGAAGGGATTTCGGCGTGGCCATCCTCCCTTCTCGCTTTGTGTCTCTCTATCTCTCTCTGTCTTTCTGGTGAGTGCACGTGCCCTATAGGAAATAAACTCTCAAAAAAGTAAAAGAAAAAAAAGAACATGGGAGCCTATGTAAGTTCTCCTAAACTCGGACAGTTGCCAAGTCTGGGAGGTCACTCGGCAGAGTGTTCCCACATCATCACGGGTGAGGGGCAGTCACACCCCTCCTGGTCAGGAGAAGAGGTCCTGGCTCCTGCCAGTCGGGGCTGCCCTCTGCCTTCCTTCTGTCCCCTACAGGTGCCAGCTGTGAGAACGAGCCCGCTGCTGGAGAACTGGCCCAGGAGGGTGAGGAGGGCCTCTTCACATACGTGTTCCGGCCATCCCAGCACACACGCAGCCGCCAGGTGACTTCGGCCCAGCTGTGGTTCCACACAGGGCTGGACAAGCAGGACACAGCAGCGTCCAATAGCTCTGGGCCTCTGCTGGACCTGCTGGCCCTGTCGTCTGGGAGGCCCGTGGCTGTGCCCATGTCCTTAGGCCAGGCCCCCTCTCGCTGGGCTGTGCTGCACCTCGCTGCCTCTGCTCTCCCTCTGCTGACCCACCCAGTCCTGGTGCTACTACTGCGCTGTCCTCTCTGTTCTTGCTCAGCTCGGCCTGAGACCACGCCCTTCTTGGTGGCCCACACACGAACCAAACCACCCACTGGAGGAGAGAGATCCCGCCGCTCAGCTCCTCCAATACCCTGGCCGTGGTCTCCCGCCGCTCTGCGCCTGCTGCAGAGGCCTCCGGAGGAACTCTCTGCCCACGCTGACTGCCACAGAGCGTCCCTCAACATCTCCTTCCAGGAGCTGGGCTGGGACCGGTGGATCGTGCATCCTCCCAGTTTCATCTTCCATTACTGTCACGGTGGCTGTGGGCTGCATACCTCACCAGACCTGTCACTGACGGTCCCTGGGGCTCTCCCTACCCCTGTCCAGCCCCTTTCTTTGCTGCCAGGGGCCCAGCCCTGTTGTGCTGCTCTCCCAGGGACCATGAGACCCCTACGTGTCCGCACCACCTCAGATGGAGGTTACTCTTTTAAGTATGAGACGGTGCCCAACCTTCTCACACAACACTGCGCGTGTATCTAAGGGGGGCCTGTTTCCCATTCCATGGCTGGCAGCTGAGCCCCCATCGTCATCAGCGGGGGGAAAGGGTGGGATTCAGAACACAGATAGTTCCCACTCTCCTTCCACTTCTCTAAGAGCTCCTTTCCCCATCCCACCCTTGTCCCATGGATAGTGTGTGACAATAAAGAACACGGTGCATATGACTTGGCATGCATTCTCCAGCTTCTCTGATATGGTGTTGGGGAGGTCTGGCTCCGGGGAGCAGGGAATTGTGGGATCTTGGGTCATTCCACCACACTTGACCTGGAGATCTGGGGTTCAAGGGCTGTAAGTGTGTTAAGTGAATGTGTGTCTGTTGGGAAGCTGTAATGCTTGGGGGTGACTCAGAGATGTTCCAAGCTCCTCGGACAGCCTCTCTGGAGCCGGAACCGGACCTCACACAAGTTGTCCTTGACACATCGACCTGGTTGCCTGCCCTGCCCCACTTAAAGGGACCTGGTGCACTCACAGAGCTTGTATCTGAGGCAGCTCTCAGGCCCCTCCACTGCCACCTCTGCCCCATCCGATGAGGCCTAGCTCAAGGTCAGGTGAATCTAGACTGGCCAGAGAGCTCCACTAAGACAATTGTTCAGAACCGCTCAGGTCCAGGGGTCTCTTGGGGGCTTGGGTGGGAAGTAAGGGAAAGGCATGTGGGTTGGCATCAGAAGGAAGCCGACTACAGCAGGGAGGTGGTGCTGTGCTAAGAGCAGGTTACCAAGATGAGTGCCTGAGGGTTTTGTTTTGCTAAGGGTCTTGGGGCTTCTCAAGTCCATCACTGGCTCTCGTTGTGGTCTTTGTGAGGCCTCTCTGGACTGGGACTCTGGTTCTTGAAATCCCTGGCTCCCTCCATGTCCCCTGATCACTTTACCTAACCCCTGAACTCAGTTCTTAAGTCGGAAGGGTGCAAAGACAGAGCCTGCAGCCCGAAACGAGTCTGTGCTCCCCCGGGGATTGTGTGCAGGCCATGAGGCAGAGCCGTCTTTGCTCTCCCGTGTGTTTCCTGTCAGTCCATTTTGCTCCAGAGTCGGGCTTTGGGAGACCCTTCTTCTCTGGCCTTCCTCCGTGGTCTTTTCATCTCCTTATTGTCCTCGGGGTCTTGTTATCCCCAGGGTCTTGGCTCTCAGTGGATTGGTCCCATCCTGTCTTGTGTGTATGAGTGTGTGTGTGAGTGTGTAGGACTGGGATTGTGTGCGGGGGGCTGGGATTATTTGTGTGTGTGTGCATGTATGGCTGGGATTGTGTTTGTGTGTGCACATGCGCGTGTGTGTGTGTAGGACTAGGATTGTGGGGGGGGGACTGGGATTGTGTGTGTGTGAGTCTAGGGTTGGGGACTGGGATTGTGTGTGTGAGTGTAGGGTTGGGATTGTGTGTGTGTATGTGTATGTGTATGTGTGTGTGTGTATGAGTCTAGGGTTGGGATTGTTTGTGGGGGCTGGGAGTGTGTGTGTGTGTGTGTGTGAGTGTAGGGTTGGGACTGTGTGTGGGGGCTGGGAGTGTGTGTGTGTGAGTGAGTGTAGGGCTGGGATTGTGTAGGGGGCTGGGATTGTGTGTGTGTGTGAGTGTAGGGCTGGGATTGTGGGGTGGGGGCTGGGATTGTGTGTGTGTTTATGTATGTGTGTGTGAGTATAGGGCTGGGATTGTGTATGTATGTGTGTGTGAATGTAGGGCTGGGATTGTGGGGTGGTTAGGATTGTGTGTGTGTGTGTGTGTATGTGTGAGTGTAGGGCTGGGATTATGTGTGTGTATGTGTGAGTATAGGGCTAGGATTGTGTGTGTGTGTGTGTGTGAGTGTAGGGCTGGGATTGTGGGGTGGGGGCTGGGATTGTGTGTGTGTTTATGTATGTGTGTGTGAGTATAGGGCTGGGATTGTGTATGTATGTGTGTGTGAATGTAGGGCTGGGATTGTGGGGTGGTTAGGATTGTGTGTGTGTGTGTGTGTATGTGTGAGTGCATGTGTGTGTGCATATCCAAAATCTTAACAGGAAGGAATGGAAGAGAAGGGGTTGTGGTGTGGCTATCCTCCCTAGGGAGTTATTTCTCACTTTCTCTCTCTCTCTCTCTCTCTCTCTC